ATTCCCCGTAATAGAGACGTAGCGATGTTCATATGCATATCGAGAGTTTGTTTTCGAGCAGTAAGTTCTGGTAGTGCAGTAATAGCCGATTTCAAATGTTGAGTATTTTGGGAGAAATCTACTTGATCCACATCATCTAGTGAATTTACCCCACTAAGTCTTGTTATCTCAGCAGCATCGAATTTATAACGATTAAGTTCCACATCAATATCTTCAGCCACTTGAGGAAATGGACTTGAAGCATTTTTAGCCCAAAAAAAGTCTTTACTATCTAAGTCATAACTTTTTTTGATAACACGACCCATTTCATCAGTTTCTATTACGATTCTATTTAAATGCATATCCAATACATCATGAATCAAGGCTTGATAAGTCCAAGAATGACTTAACATTGGAACTAGATCAATATTTCTATCTAGAATTAATAATACGGGCCTTTGAAAGTTTAAAGAAGCGGAACTTTCAGAAAATAAATTATTTCGAGAATTTAATATATGATCACGTAATCGACTATCAAGCTTTTGAGCAATCATTTCAGCAGCATTTCCTCGAGGACAACGAATGATTGGTACAACACCCATAGTCACTAATACAGAAAATAAAGAACTAACAGTACGATCTATGGCATTCTCTATAGCAGTTTCCGCAGCAGTAGGATCATTTAGTGAATAATAAATGTTGGGTTGATTGAGAGAAAATAGATTAGGTTCCGAAACAATAAAATTCAAATATTGATCGTAGACCTGAGAGATCAAATTTGAAGAGTTATTTGGTATAGTAGCAGCAGCCAATTCTTCTAATAATGGTCTTGTAATAGTAGTCAAAAAATTAATATAATACGATTCGTAAAGGTTCTTGGCCAAATCCTACGTGTTTAATAATGATAAGAATAAGCAGGATGAGTGATACATTGATTTAGGAATAGTTTAATAGAATAAATCTACCTCACTGATCCTCTGAATGTTTTCAGATGTCGGCTCTACGAAATAAATAGCGGGAACATCAGCAATAGCATGTCTTTCACTTCTCAATAACCTAAAAATAATGAACAAGTTAAATTAGAAAACTAAATTTAGGTAGTAATT